GGGGGGGGGGGGGGCGTGTGTGTGTGTGTGTGTGTGCAAAAGAGAAAAGGGTTTGTATTGCAGAGGCTTTTAATGTATTCCACAGTGCAAACCTGTTAGAGCATATATCCTGGAGCTACAGTCCGGACACTAATTCAATTTTTGCAGTTATGATGGACAAGAGTATAAAGAAGAAACTTTAATATCCAGGGTGTGGGATTCCCGGATCGCCTAAGATGCTGAAGAACATTTGCAAAATTTCATCACGATACGAATGTGAAGTTTCTGAAAAGTGGACCTGAAGATAAGCTGCTCCTAAATGCATTTTAGTGAAGAGGAAAAAAAAGGAATTTGAAGAATTCATATCTCACCTTTTTATGTATTGTTGCTTTAACCTGCAGTTCTAATCCGTTTTAGAATTAATGCAATTTTAGCAGCACTTTGTGGGTGCCTCTTGCCTGAGGGAACGTATGGATATTTGTATTTGAAAAGCTAGGAAACATTTTGATTTGAATTTATGTGCTTGTTAAAACTGGGACATTTTTATAGGAATTGCTGCTGCTAACTCACTGCAATACTGAAAACTCCTCAGATACAGTGGAAGCTGTAATTGAATTCAGTGTGAAATTCAAGCCTGAGAAGTTGCATACATGTACATTTGCTGCTTTGGTTTATGATTTTTAAAGAGAATCCAGAAGGGATTTTACTCCATCTTTTTCTTCTGTGGCTTTTATTTGAGAAAGGAAACTTTTTTTTCCCCCCCAGCCTAAGAAATGGCTTTTCTTGTTCGATGTTATGCCAACTGCCTGCAGCCCTGGGCCTCCAAAGTAAGTAAGATTTTTGTCTGTGCTGCATTTCTCTGACATGTATTGACAACCGTGGTGCTATTTGAACATTTGCTTCCCAAAGCCTGAGTGCTGCTCGGGTGAGATGCTGGAATCCTGGCTGTGCATGGACTGTTCTTGTAGAATCATTTCTCAACGGGAGCGGGGGGGGGAAGCTTGAAATTGTGGAATTTATTTTATATATGAATAGCTTATAAACGAACAGGCAGTATAAAAAAAATGCCATTTGCTTACGAAACCTGTACAGCTTGCTTTTTAGCCTGTTAATGTGAAGCAAGTATTACTCAAGTGTAACATTTTTATGACTGCTTGCATATACTGCCCACTTGAAAATATTGGTATACAAACCCACTGATGCTCTAATTTTCAAGCTGTATGAAGCTGTAGTGCTTGTTTCCTTTGTGCAGCATTGTGGAATCGGTTAATTATTTAGCTGAACTATGTAATTACAATTAGCTTTAAAGGACACAAATTACTTTGTGTGTCTGAAGATGCAGTATTTTTGTGAAACTGGGAGGGAAGGGTGTTTCTTTTAAAGGAGGTAATAAAATCTAGAACATTCGAGCAAACCCACCTATTGAGATAAAAGCCTTTAAATAAATTTAAAAAAAAAAAACCCAAACCACTATTTATCAGACTCTTACTATTTGGTATGCTCAGTCAGAAAATTAGCTGAGTTGCTGATATTTTATTAATGCTACTGCCAAGAAGTAGTCACCTAAGACAGGGGAATTGCCTTATAAACCTGAGGCCAGGCATATATTTGTTATTATTTGTTATAATTTTGTATTACAATGCAGCTCATACAGGCTAGAATAAAGAGCGTGCAACTTTTCTTGCATGTGAAAGCCGGCAGGATTTGCAGGCGATGGGCAAAACCCTTCTGCTCCTGACATCATGAGATACAGCGTTGACTTTGGAGCAGGAAATTTGCTCTTGACTTTGATCCCAAAAAAAGTTTAGAGTCTAAGTGACATGACAGTGTGGGGAGCCACAAGGGAGAAACAGGGTTGGGTGTGCAGGGTGGTTTTCCCTGTTTGGTTTTTATGTCTGAGAAAGGGTAAATGGGAGCTCACGGTGCGTGGGGGTGAAAGTGCTGGGCTACAGGGTTTCTGCCTGCAGTTGCCAAAACCGACGTGTAGATGGGTGGGGGTACGTGGGGCTGGATTTCGGCGGTTTGCCGTGCGCCGAGTCCACCCCGTCGCCAGGTGAAGCGGAGCTGCAGGCGCTCGTTGCCTTGAAGGGCTCCCTGGGCTCAACCAGGGAGTTGTGGCTCCTCGCCCCAGAGTTCCTGCTGGCCAGGGTTGGCCTCTTTGTATCGTCACCCCGGTCTCCACTGTACGTGTCGACTCTCTCACTTTCTTCCCTGCTTAATTATCGACGTTAAATGGGAAAGGATCAGTTTACTTAAGCTCGGCTTACCTTTACCAGCCTTACTAAGAAGGTCTGAAGGTCTAATACTGCTTAAAAAATGGGAATGCTTAGTCACGTTGGTACTTCAGCTGAGATTGCTCTTGCTGTAGAGTTTGGGCCAAAGTGAGAAACCACAGAAAAATCCTTCCCGTGCTCAGTAAGGCTTTGGCAGGGGTCAAATAATAATATCCAAAAATTGTACAGGTTTTTAGCCCCCTATGTCAGCTCTGTGGATGATCCCTAGACCAGTCAAGCCATTTATTCTCTCATTTACTATTCATAAATGAAATTGTGTAAAATGTTGGGGAAGGAGAGTTTTGTTTTTTCTTTCTTTTTTTTTTTTTTTTTAATTAAATGGCTGACACAAGCCTATTAACTGGTTTTGCATTCCAATCCATAGCTAAAAGTTGTTTTAACTTTCAAACTGCAAAAGAAAAAAGCACCTATATGTCTGCAAAACCCCATAAACTTCTAAACTGACCACACGCACTGATGACCTGAGTTGCATCTGAGTTCATTTCATTTTGTTTTTATCTGAGCTCTGCACCACAAATCTGCTTGACAGGTGTTTTATAATAATACATATTGTAGCAGAAGAACTGATGTAAGAATTTTAAATATGCAAGCTTATAACTTTTAACTTGAAAATGTATTTTGTGATCCTATTTTGAAACTAGAACTATTTCTTGCCATAGAGCAGCGAACATCTGATTTTTCCATTTGCTTTCTCAGTGATTGAATTCAAAATTTTCTTAGATTTATGTAGATATCTGTTCCAGAATCTTTTTCAATTAGTTGCTTTTAAACTGGTGTAGGACAATAGTCTGAAAATGGGCTGTTGACTCAGTTGTAATTATAGCTGCTCTGAATGTGACAGTGTAATGATACATCTATTTAATTAGAGCAAAATGAAGTCATATTTCATATGACTAATCAGAAAGGTAAGCTTTTGTGTAGGTATGTAAAGGAGAACATTTGTGAAGGTTAACCTTAACCGAAGGAGGTTAATTTGTGTGGCTGGGGAGTGACCTGCAGGAGGAGGCGGCTTTAGGAGCTCCGTCGCTGCCCAGAAGATGCTCCCTGAGCACAAGGGGTGCCCGCAGCGGTTTGCATCACACGCACCCCTCATCTCCCACAGACTCCCTTGCTTTTGGCTTCTGAAAGCAAAAGGGACAGTGTAGACTTCCGTAAAGTAATCAATGCAATCTATTTTCCTGCATGAAGAGCTGCTGAAAGGAAGATATCTTGAGAGAGAGAGAACTCTTGAGCGTTGTGAATTTCTGCTGGGCACCTGAGGATGAGCTGTGGAAAGCCTTCTGGCCTTTCCATGCGGGCTCTTGTAGAGGTCGACAGTATTTCTCAGCACTCTGCTGATACTTAGGGATGTGTCCAGGAGAGATCAGCACCTCCTCTGTGGGAAGGTGGTGGTGGTTCCTCTGGCAGTTGGGTCTGGAGGTACCAGTAGAGGGGCAGAATCACACGTTGTAAGAAATGGTCTCTCTCCTGGGGACCGTGTGCTTTCTGGGATGGTAACATGTAGAAGATGAGATAAATAGATGCATCCTTAAGCAAACATGGTGAATATGATAAGCAGTGAGGAACAGTGATCAAAGCAGTCCCAGCTGTCAAGCCACTGTGACTCTGGAGGAAGGTGAGGGAAGGTGGAGGACTTTGCATCCGTCTTGTGGAGATCTGGTTGTATTTGTGAGGACAAGAGGCATTCAGCTTACATTAAACTAAAATCCTCTGATACCAATGCAGTATTTTAAAGAAAAAAAAAATTAAAAAGTATCTCAGCAAGATTCTGATCGTCTCTGTAATTCTGATCATAACTTTCTCGGTGTCTGTTAAATCGTCTGTAATGCACTTTGTGGTATTAGACTCTTAAACGTAGATGCATTATGAAGTCACTGTGAAAGAGAGCTCTAAACTTAACGGTTTAGATGTATACGGTTCTCCTGTAATAGAAATTTTATGCACATCCTAACAATTTTCCAAGCCTAGAATACATACATACTCAGTTACCCTATTTGTGTAGCAGGAGAGTCTGGTGGGGAAAATACAGAGCGATTGGATAATGTATCTATAGAGGATATTTTAAAAGGGATGCTTTTTGAGATAATGTGCTTTTTATAGAAAATAAAGGGTTTTGAATTAACGTCTAAGCTTCTAAAATATTTTTTTCCTGAAGGAAAACGGTTTCACTCAAGATCCCAGGTGCATGTTAAACTCGTCTTACAATGGTAGACAGTCATTTATTTTCTCCAGGCTTCCGTGTTCTTCTTCTTTCTGCTGTTTAGATAAAATCTAATAATGCTAGGCGTAATAACCAGGTACATTTGCTCTGTGAAAGTTTGTGTTTGGGTTAGAGCAGAAGACGTGGAGTCATTTTTCAGTCCCGTTCCTATTTCTGCTGTTGTCTCACTGGGACGTGATGCAAGTTTTAGTTATCGTAGCTAAAATCAGTATAGCATCATCTTCTGATTCCAGAGGACATCAGTTTGATCTCCAGGATCTTGAGTTGAAACCTTTATGCAATTAAAGGTTATTTTCAGCTCCTCAGAAGAAAAAACAGAGCTTGGATAGTGTGTCCTTGATTTGATTTGATGTCATCCTTGTCTTTGCTAATGCATTTATATGGAAAGTAGCCCTGGTAGTATGAATTTTAAATGTTTTCAGTGTAAATAGAATAACTGATGCTTCACTTTCTTATTTTTTCAGTCAATTTTGACGTTTTCTCTTCCCCTTGGCCTTGCCTCTCTCTCTCCAAACTTTCTGTCCATGCCTGTAGGTTCCAGCCCAGCTTTCTGCCTTGCGGAGCACCCGCCGTCTCTCGGAGCGGGACCTGTGGGTGCTCCTCACCCCAGCGTGTGGGTTCGTGTGCGGGGTCGTTGCCCTGTGAGCTCCCCTCTTCTGCTTCTGATGGTTCTCTTCCCTCCGATGAACTTCAGTTTGCCTGGTTTAGCCCTCTTCTGAGTTTCTGGAGTTTCAGCCAGCTCTCCAGAGTATTTATGGTGTCTCCTATTCCATAGTTGCTGATGTTTTTCCCCTCTATCCCCTGCACAGACCGCTTGCTGTGTTTCTCCACTTTAATTGATTTGTGGGAGCACAGCCTCTTGGTCACCCACTACCCTGATCCCTGAGCACTTACAGCGGGTGCTTCCACCGACGGATGATGATTCTCCTCACGCTTAGTGAGAAGTTTAACTCTGTTTTCTATAAGAACTTGCAGGATACTTTCTGTAAAACTTCTTAAATGCACATTTTGCTTGGTAGCTTATTAAGATAAAAATGGTTTAATATGAGCTGTGTGGCCATTTAGTCTAGAAACCGACCATGGATTTTCTGGTACTCCAGTATATAGTGTGTTGAGGTTAAATGTCAGCATGCGTCGTACTACTTTTCAGCAGAAAAAGCCTTTTCCTGAAGTATTGTTTTTATCGGAAGTCGGCTGGTAATAGGCAAATAAACACCTATCTGTTCACTTATTTCCTCCTGGACATTGTTTGCTTTAAGCCTGCTTTGTTACAATTCTGATTACAGCTACAGCCCGGTTCAGGGACCACCCTGTTTTGCTCCTCTCACTTCCACAAATGCATTTCTTTATGAATACAGAAAGCAAATCTAGATGGAAGATTGGCTCTTCCTTTGTTTTTTTTTTTTCTTTTTTTTTCTGCACACACAGGATCTGAGGGCTTCATTACGCAGCTCTTGGCTGCGAGGTGAGACGTCGCCGAGGCAGCACCGGCG